AAAATTATTATTATTTTATACTATACGGTATCCGATTAAGTTAATTTCTGAAAACACATGTTCAATTCAATTGATTTTTATTGTGAGAAAAAAATCCTACCACCGCTTGGGATTGAACCCTCAAACTTTGGAACGCAAATCAACAATGCTAACCGCTAGGCTACAATACAATGTCCAACTTATATTTTTCGTTTTCGAAAATAAGTGCCGAATAAAATAACTTTATTAATTTTTAATGCATAATAAACGAAGTACAGTACACTGAAAAAAAATGTATTTGATTCAAATAATCGATTACTTGACTATTATCAAATAAATATTTACTTCAACCAAATTATTATTGAGTCAATTATATGGTATTTGTTTCAAATACACAGTTTTCTAAAAAGGATCAAATTGAACCCGAAGTGGATCAAATTGATCTAAAAATTTGGATCAATTTTTGATTTGATCCGCATTTTTGGATCAATTCGTTGCAATTTGACACTTTTAGGTTAACAGTGTACAGAATTTATTGGTTCAATGACAATTTATTTGATAAAAGTCAAGTAATCGAGTATTTAAATCAAATAAATTTTTTTTCAGTATAATTTTCCTGAATAAAAAATGTTGATCTATGGAAAATGAAAGTGAATTGATATTATAATAAGCGAGGTATAATTTTCAACATGTAATTGAAATAGGCCAAGGCTGTGGTGTAATAAGGGCAAATTTGTGATAATACAAGGCTGTAATTCAAGTAAGCACGTGCACTTTAGCAGAATAATCCTTGCAATTCGAGTATATATAGCACACATGGCACCTCGTGTGCGTGTGAGGATATTGATATAGATCCATAGAATACGATGCACCTGATCGAGTGGGTACTTGGAGGAATAGCTTTGGCCATTAAGGCAGTAGGAACAAGGGATATTGAGATACATGCCGTAGACGCAGATATTCCCATATAGCATTATACATATATATATATACTTATATATAATAAATATATATATATACATACATACGCTCGTGTCTGTGCAAGCTCACCATATTAGCATTCATATTTCAATTTCATAACCCTCAGGGCTGCATTTAGGGGCCAAGTGGCCACTTCAGACGGGAAAACCACGTTCAAACGATTATTATCTAGCCTAGTATGGACACATGAAAACCTATTACCACCTATCTTCTCGCGATGTAATGAACGCTTGCGATTATTACTTCCTCGCATATATATATATATATATATATATATATATATTGGTAATTGAGCCTATTAGAAGATCGTCGATAATTATTTCCACTCTAAAAATCATTTTCCTTAAAAGATTATACTTAGAAATTATATATTTTTGCGCAAACGAAAAAAAAATCCAACCTAATTGTTATATAATAATTTCCAAGAATATAAAAACTAAATATGCTCTTTAACTTTATATGCGCGTTATTAAATTCCGTTATACAGCAATTCACATTATTATAGCTGTTTCCTTTTACATATAATTATCACTTTATTTTTTCATCCGATGAATAAAATTATGTAAATTTTTTTTAGAATTTTTTTTTTACCTCTATACGCGAATTTTGAATAAGCGCGCGCTTTTCTGTTCTACTGCTGATAAAACTGTTTTTACTGTTTAAAACTGTTTTACCGAGTTCTTATAATGTAGACTTGAGTTATTAAGTACGCAACCATTTCACTGGAAAAACTGTTTTACCGACTGCTGGCGAAACAGATTTGAGGGTTTACATAAAAAACTGTTTTACCGACTGCTGGCGAAACAAATTTAAGGGTTTATATAAAACTGTTTTACCTGCTGCTAGCGAAGTAGATTTGAGGGTTTACATAAAACTGTTTTACCCACTGCTGGCGAAACAAATTTGAGGGTTTACATAAAACTGTTTTACCGGCTTTTGGCGAAGTAGATTTGAGGGTTTACATAAAACTGTTTTACCCACTGCTGGCGAAACAAATTTGATGGTTTACATAAAACTGTTTTACCGACTGTTGATGAAACAGATTTCATGACTTACATCGGTAAAATAGATTTAAAATTATTATTTAATGTTTTTTAATATGAATTAATATTTTAATATAAAATCAAAGAAACTAAAAGTAAATTAGTGATTTAGTTGCGAGTCTACTGTTGGGAGTTTTCAATCTCACTAACCTTCGTCTTTTTTTTTTCTTCTTTAACCACGCATCAAAAAGAGCGTTAAACGGCCAGGGATCGCGTAAAGTTTCACCTCATAAAAAAGATTAGATACGTATACTCATCCTCATAGTGTATGTGTGTATGTGTGTAGGTTATACCTGCGTTGGATATGGCAAAGTTGAGTGTAGAAGGGGTTCGGAGGTGAATATAAAAGCCCTCCGCTTCGTGAAAGCTGAACGTGAGCGTAAAAAGCTCGTCGTCAAAAGCATCAACGTACATAAAGCAACGGCGGCGCCCGACCGCTTCGCGTTTATTAAAAGCTCCCTGAAAAAAACGTTAACGCGCTTACAGCGGCTCTCTCTAAAGTTTCGCGCACGATATTCTCTCTCTCTTTCTCTCTCAACGAATCATCAGAATCAATCCTCTCTCACTTTATATATATATATATATATATATATATATATATATATATATATAGTGATCTTTTTCAAAAAAAAAAAATATTGCTCCATAGCTTTAGCTTTTACAAAAATTCGTGCATTTGAAACGAATAGGGGAGCTTTTTCTTTTGACTTGTAGAGAGTGAGAAAGAGAGAGAAACGCTGAGTGTGTGTGTATATGCAGCGAGTTTGAAGGAAAATAAAGGTTCGATGGTCGACGTGGGAATTCAATTCTAATATTTTTCAGCGGGAAGCTTCACTCGTTTTACAATCAGGAACACATAAAACTAGGCAAAAAAAAAAAAAAGAGGAACAATCGCTGTTTTTTGTTTTCATTTCCAGAGTGAGTGAGCGAGCGAGAGAGAAAGAGAGAAGGGGGGGGTATACACAAAAAAGGCCTTTTCAGGGATTTTTAAACAAACCAATTCCCGAGATAAATAAATCGGTTAAAATAAAAAAAAAAGAATTAAAACGCAAAGGTATTTTACTTCTAAAAACAGCCAATTTTTTTTTTTTGTGGTTCAATTCAATGGAAATTTGTTTTCAGAGCGATGAGGAAATGATGAAAACAAGAATTTACAGACTCGAGTTAATTTTTTTCTTCGGTTTTCAAAAAAAAAAAAAATAATTTCGGGTTTATTCTGTTTTGAGTACAGAACTTTTTTGTTCTATAAATAAAAATATTTAATAAATAAAAATTGGTTTACGGTTTCTGATATTGAAGGCAGTGTTAATTTTTTTTTACAGTTTACGGATATTTACCTAAATTATTATTTTTAGGTTATTTTATCTAAATCATTTCCTAAAACATCGTTAATCTAAGAAGATTATTTTTAGGTTATGTTAGGACAAACTTTTGTTCCGATTCTTTTCTTAAGGTCTAATCTCTATGCAATACTCATTTTTTTTCAAATTTGCCAATAAAACTTTTAACTAGATTTCTGAATTACCAACCGATGAGTGACATTGAAGTTTCCCTAGTTGGTGGCGCTGCGTTACTTGACAATAAACCCAAAAATGATGAAATACAAATACTATTTTTCTCATCACTAACCCATTTTACATCTATTTCAATAATATCACTATCTGCATTAAATTATATTGCAATTTTTAATATGTAAATAGAAAATAATTCGCTTTTTACATGAATTACATTTAATTAATTAGAAAAAAAAAGTTAAAATTCTACGACTATCTCATATATTTGAAAGACTTTTTATTTTAAAAAAATTCAAAATTAGTTTTTCTACTAATTTGTCATATCAAACGTACTAGTTTCTAATCAAATAATATCGAAAATTAGTATGGACTGTATTAATTTTCAATATCAAAAATTCAGTTTCATATACGTCTAAATAGTACAAAAACAGAGATGTCCCAATTTTGAAATAAATTACAATATTAATATTTGTAATGAAAATTTTTAAAAATCTCTGCTATGATAGTTTGAAAACAATTTTTTTTCTTGGTGGTAGTGTAAACAACCCGCATGAATTGACACACGAACCATATATTTTATATATACTTAGATCAATTCGTCGTCGTCGTCATCGGCTCAATATAAGCATCGACAATAAAAGAGTCTTTATTCGAATAATGACAGATTGAAATAAACCAAAAGTGCTGAAAATCAAGTATCGACAAAAGCGAGCACTTGAGTGAATGGGCCGTCAAGTGGAAATATATGGCGTTGATTCTTGGGTGGAGTCAACCCAGTGAAGGATGAGGGGAGTCCAAGCGCATTGAATATTCTCTCCCTCGTCGAAAAGTACACGTAGTACAACGTATACGTGAGAGCTCTCCAAGCAGTACTTATAAGCCGACATCATTATCCCGTGAACTCCCGGATTTTCTTTCTCTCTCTCTTTTACTCTCCTTCTCTTTCCTTCTATATATAGTCTCTCCGCTAATCCTCGCGTTATCTCCCCTTTAATCTCGCGAGACCTTCTCGCTCGTTTCGCCCTACCTCACAAGTCTGTATAGAGCCACCCTCAAAATCTACACAAAATCGTTCAGCGCCTGAGGGAGGGACATTCGTCACTTTGCCAAAGAGAGGAAATAGGGAAGAAGAGGAGGGGTGGGGGTGAGGGAGGGTTGGAAACTAAGGGCGCGCCTGATATTGAATATTAGCCCACAAGATTCTGTACAGGCCCTCAGGCAATTTCAACCCCTCGACAGAAGGTCGACACATAAAATTTACTTCACAGACTGAAACGTCCAACTTGCAAGAAATATGGAAACGCGAAAATTTCACAAGTTTTCGAACCCTCCCCTCCCCCCCCCTCCACCCTTCTTGTTTATAAAGAAACTCTCGTTGTTAAACTTCTAAAAACCGAAAATGAACTTTTTCCGCGTGTAATATGCCTTGGAGAATTCTCACTATATGTATATATATGTATATTAAAAAGTATGATATACTCACATGCCTCTCCTCTGCTGGATTCAAACCTGTAACCAAAAAAAGGTGAAATTAATATTTTCTTGTATTTTTAATTTAGATACATTTAAATTATGAATTTTTGAAAACTGAGTTCAGATTCGTTATCAGCGACCCCGAAAACCCCCGAGTAATAAGTTTCAAATTATTTCGAATGATTTTTAAAAATTGCCAACCATATTGGATCCGCCATTTTGAATTTTTGAAAACTGACACCAAATTCGTAATCAGTGATCCCAAAAACCCCCGAGTGAAGAGTTTTAAGCGAATTTAACCCACTTTTTGAATTTTGTCCGCCATATTGGATCCGTAATTTTGAATTTTTGAAAACTGACACCAAATTCGTAATCAGTGATCCCAAAAACCCCCGAGTGAAGAGTTTTAAGCGAATTTAACCCACTTTTTGAATTTTGTCCGCCATATTGGATCCGCCATTTTGAATTTTGAAAACATGACTAGATTCCTAATCAATCTTAAAAGCAGCCAAAGAAACTATTTCATCTAAATTTAAAAATTTATTATTCCAGTAAAAAAGTGAAATTGTTTTGATATGATTAGAAAATTCAATATTAACTTGAATAAGTCGTAAAGAACATCAATTCATTGAAAATGAAATAGCCATCATTAAGACTCCTATATTTTTTAAAACGGGGCTTTAAATTTTGCAGAAATTATTATATTATAACCAAAGTGAAAAACACTAAAAGAATCAACACGCATGCAAAAAACATTTGTTTCATTATTTATTACACTCAAAAAATTGAATGAAAACTACTTTTAATTTTACCTAATTAATTTAGAAACTTATTTCAACTTAAAACTATAACCTACAAATTTTTTTACCAGGTGCCATTTCTCCTGGAACGTCACATATTTTGCCGAGGCTCTTTTTTGCAAATTTATATTTCGTTTCCTTTTAATTCAGGTAAATTTAGATTGTATAGGGTTTATCTAGAGGAATGAAAGGGGAAAAAAATAATGTAATTTGACTTTGAAAGGGGGTGAAAAAAATGTAAAGAGAAAGGAGAGAGAGAGAGAGTTTTCTTCAAATACCTTGGAAAGGAGTCAGTGCTCTCGAGGATTTCTGCGAGAGTGGGTTGAGAGTTGAAGGAGAAGTATATGTATAGAGAGAGAGAGAATGAGGAGAGAGAGAGAGAGAGACGGAAAGGGAAGAGTAAACCGAGGACACCATTATGGGGTGAAGGGATCTCTTCAACAGAGGCTTTGTCCTCACGGAGAGCAGAGTTCATAGTTTGCCCTCACTCGATTGCCCCAACCACCAACCCCTTGTACCAGGTACACTTTGTCTCGTAAGAAATATCTCAACGATATTCTTCCTCTCAATGGCACATACTGTGCGCTCGAAATATAGATATGTTTCTCTTTTTTTTCCATTTATTTCAAAATTATATTTATATATAAAAAAAAGAAGCTAGCGTTGTTGTTGTTGTTATAAGCGCTTAAATTAAAAATAATTCTAAAATTAATATGTGATATAAATGAATGTACAAACAATTGTATTAAAAAATGTATTTAAAAAATATTTCATTAATTTAATTTTCAATTATTTTAAAAATAACAAAAATGTACAATTTTGATTAAATTGTTTTGTTAAATATTTGAATTTTCAAATTTAGATTCAAATTTGGCGCCTTCAATAGTACATCACTGGCGGCGTTGAAGTAGCTTGCGCTCCTAGCGGATGTTTTTGGTATTTGAGGATTACATCACGACTCGGTAAGTTTTATTTTGTTTTTTCTCACTTAATTTTTATTTGCCACACTGTAAAGAATGGCAAAGTAATATTTTCCATCCAACGTTGGAAAAAAGATTAAAAAAAAACTCCGATCAGCGTTTTATTTTATAATCTTAAAGTGAAAATATCAGACGGATAAATCTATTTATATTCAAATTTCAGAAATAAAAAATAATTATATAAAACAGTAAAAAATAATCAAATAAAATAAGGAAATCAAAATTAAATAAAATAATTAAAAAAAAAAACAGTAAAAAGAATGAAATTAAATTAGAAATATATCAAATCACATGGAGTGCGCTGCATAGAGAGTCACATCACTATTATTGTTAAAATTCATTCGCTAATCACGCTAGTTCATCTATTTGAATTGCCAATAAATATTTCCCTGAAGTAAACAGTAAAAAAAAAACAAAAATTGTAGTAAAATATTTTCAATTTCTATTTAGCCGTAAACTTTATTATTTTTTATCTATTTTCAATAGGTATTTTATTTTTTCTATTAATATTGGAAATAAAACTAAAAATCAATATTTACTTAAAAAATACATTTTTCTAAATAACTTTTTTTTCAAAACTCTGGAAATTAATAAGTTTTTGATTGGAAACGTTTCAATTTCTATATAAATATAATTTTTTTTTTTTTTTTTTTTTGAAGCACTTAATCACTTTTACGACAGAAAAGGGAAAAACGGTTACAAGATAAAGATAAATTGGATAAAAAAAAAATGGACCTACCCAGTAGACACATCGTAGATATCCTCATCGTAACATGAGTGTTTTATATGCAGAGATATCGAGCTCTGGAATATCCCTGTGGATGTTACACACGTCTACGTTTATATATCTCGATGTACCTATATCGTATAACTGAAGTTATGGGTTCGAGTTATGGAGCGTGGTTTTTTTTTTTGCCCCTAGAAGGGTCGTAGAAAGAATTTTTCTCATATTTCCCGATTATTACAGACTCCGAGGTCTTGTGTATATGTATGTATATATATATATAAAAACGAGAGGCAGAAAAGCCGGTAAAAAAAAGGAAGCTTCAAAGCATCAAACACCCCCTTCTCTCTCTTTTCTCATCCCTTAACCCGCTAATGTTCGTCATCCCCCTTTAACCATAGAAGTTACCCGGGGCATTTCAACCCCAAGGCTCGTAAACGGACACGGGAGAGCGCGCATAATTTTCTACTAAAACGCAAAGAGGTCGTTTCGTTTCCAAGAAGAAACGACTTTGTGAGAATAATAGTGGTGGTAGTAGTAGTAGTAGTATGTATCAACTATCTATTCGGAGGGATTGAAATAAAGCTCGGTTCACAACTCGACGAGCATCGAGTCGATACTGCCTTAATCGAACTCACCCCGAGTCCATTAATCAATTACCGCAAGATGGGCTTCACGAGATGGAAAGGGAGAGAGAGAGAAAAAGGAAGTAACAGTTGGATAACGAAATTGAGTGTACGTGCAGAGCAAGATAAGATTTCTTGATAAATTTCCTTCATTGGCGCTTTATGTAATTTGTTACTTACGAAGAGAAAAATAAATTTAACAATATTTTTTTATGCTTTTATTGTATGTAAATAGTATACTAAAAAGGAATTGTTAAGGAGGTACCACCTATTATCGAATAAACAAGCAGTTTTTGGTAAAACTTGATACACTACTAAATAAAGCTTCTAAAATTCCGTAGTTAAATTTTTGAGACCTGTAGGTTCCGGAGAAAAAAGTTCTGATCGATTTATTTTTTCACTGTTTAACATTGATTCTTATGGGAATTCATTACTTTGTCACATATATTTTCATACTATGAAATATTAAACAAACAGATGTTGATCAAAGTTTGTATAGTTAAAGACAGATATGCAATGAACCGGTATTATATTTAAAAAAGGACAATAGGTTCCTGTGAGAGTTCAAAATAGTTCATTTATAAATTTTTTTTTCCACTTTTTGTGATACAGAAAAGATAACTTGAAACATCTGGCAACACGGCATTTCGCGTCTTCACGGTTTCCACCGTGCGCGTGCGCTTGTCAAAGTTTTGAGGTTATGCGCGCGTTATTTCAAATTTTTATTTCTGGGAAAAGAATAAAATGTTCAAATTAAAAACTGAAATTCTATTAGTTAATAAAATTTTTATTATTAACTTGAAAAATATGACAAACACATAATATTTTTAGAAATTAAAGCTTATAAATAAAATAAATCATGGAAAATAACATATAATAATAAGTAATTTAATATAATAATATATTATATTTAATTATTAATTTATTATATTGATATTATAATTTTATAATTTATAATTCTATAATAATATTATAATATTCTTAATTAATATAATTAATTAAAAAATTAAGTTATAATTAAATATTAAATTTCCTCACAAGTTGTCTTGTTTATATAAATATATATAACGTGAGTTGCAGTGTTGCCAGACGTTTCAAAATACCGAGCAAGTCAAATCAGACAAAAATGGTTATTGCTTTGACTAGTTCAGTGAAGGGATGGAACCTCCTTAAATCTAATAACTGAATTGTTAATATGAAACTAATTTATGTGGGAAAATAAAGTTTATCTGTTAAAAATTTTAATTAAATTAAAAATTAGTTTTTGTATAACAAAAAATAGTTATGGTAACGTTTACCATGGCAACGGTTGCTATGGTTATACTTTAAGTCACGAAACCCTAAAAAAAGTTTTGGTTTTGACAACAAAACGTTCAGTTGGTATTTACAAATAAAAATTTATTTTTGTTGCCTCAAAAGTAAAATTCTACAAAAAATAAAATTCTAACAAATTAATTTTAAAAATTATTTTTATTTTTTTTTTGCTTTAAAGAGAAATTAATTAGAATATAATTTTTGGATTGCGCGCGTATAGAAAAAAAAATTTAATGAAATCTCCTCCTTTTAAATTTTTGAGAATATTTTAATCTGTCTTCAATAATAAGATATAGAAGGGAGATGAGTCGAATGAGAATCCTGAATTGAATTGACCTCCTGTTTGAAATCCGTGGTCTGAAGGAGACGCTGACGTTTTCATTATCTAGCTTGTCGATAACACCGTGAAATGAGAAATAACAGAGAGGCTGCCTCGAGTTATATGCGTAGAATAACGTAATTAGGAAACAGGACTGGTAGACTTCTTAGTGAAGGGCGCACCACTCGTCTATATACCATTGGCGTCTGCAGTAAATCAGATTTTCAAATACATTTTCTTTTTTCATCTCCAAAAATATCTTGTATATACATGAATATTATATTTTAATAATTTTCATATTATTTTCTATTTATTTATAGTTGTGGAAAAATATACGAGCTGAGTTAATTCGTTTAAATTATATTATTATCAATTTTAATTATATTATTATTAATATCATCGATAGTAAATTATACTCTTTATTTTTTTGTTTCAATATTCAATGAAAAAAAAAATGAAGATTCAATTAATTTAAAAATAATTAGAATTTTGAGGTTATATAAATGTTATTTTTTTGTGTTCAGTGTTTATTGATATATAGTAAGTTGGGAAAAATAGCTAACGATTTTTCGTTTCTCTTTAGACCATGATACTAGCGATACTAGCGCTCTAGTGGGAAAACTGTTGCAACTCAGGTGAGAGATGACTTTTTACAAATGGCGGACAATCGCTAACTAGGCATTTATTATTAACTTTATTTATTAATATTTGTTAATATTTATTATTATTTATTATTATTTATAATTATTTACTATTTATTTTATAAATTTGCAATTTTATTAAAAGATTGTAAAAAGCTTACGATTATAAAATTTAAGGTTACGTCACTGAGCTTTATGAGATTATTTTAAGGTTAGTACACAGGGGTATGTGCTACATAACCTACAATGTAAAACCACTGAAAAAAATTGAGTTGGCTTCATAATACTAAAGAGAAGTAAAATAAAAAAATTGACAATGATAAAAAAATGATTAAAATCCATTTTTAAAGTGATTAATTTTTTGTTGTCAACACCAGTTTGTTCTTCATTAGCTAATAAAAAAAAAAATATTGCCATAAATCATAAGCTTTTTTCGCACCATAAAGAAGAGAAAAAAGAAGGAAGATGATAGAGTAAAAGTAGTATTGCATCTATAATAATTCAGCATATTTCTCTGACATCATGGAGACGCTCGTAATAATGATTTATGATGTGTTAAGTGTAAAATGTTGAAGAAAGAAGGTACACAGCTTTTCCGTTTGGAAAGAAGAAAATACCGACGCCCATGGGCAAAAAGCAGTGAAGATGGTATAGAAAAGGAAGTTAGGAGGGTGGGTTTTTGAGGTAGTGAGCGAGGAGAATGAGGGGTAAGGGTGTGAGAATGAAAAGAGGATCGGTGGGGTATAGAAGTTGGGAAGCACTCTCGTGCCGAGAGAGGAGATTCCGAGTGCTCTTGAAGAGAAAGAGAGCCAGAAATTCATGAGAGCCAACGATAGTAAAAGGAAGAAGGAGAGTAAAAGAGAGAGAGAGAGAGAGAGATAACCTACGTCAAACTGCCGTGACTTTGTCAGCGTTCCAGCTGTGTACAAGTGCGAAACGTTCTTATACTCGTATCGTAGAAGCAAGAAAACGAGGATGTAACTAGAGAGACCAGCGAAATCGAGGTCGTACACGGGCAAAACCCAACAAGTACGCTTACAAGAGAAGTGTTTCCATTCGTACACTTACAGTAGCGTATCGAGTCATATACTTCAAACAATACCATTTTATTTGAAATTTTTTTTTTTTCCTACCTAGCAATATTTTTTGCCTTTTTTTATTTTCGTAATAAAATAAAAGTGCATTATTATTAAAAAAAAAAAAAAAAGTGAAAAAACTACAAATAAATAAAAGTGGTAATTTAATCTTCCGAGAGGTTAACTATATTCTGCGTCTGCGCAGAATATTTGCTTCTACGCAGAATCTTTAGCCTCTCGGAGAATTGATCCACATATAGTGAAAACAGCCTCTAAAAATTGGAATAATTTCAAATTTTATACAAATGGTACAAAAAGAAAATAAAAATTTATATTTTCCAAAATAAACAAAGTCTGAATCATTGAGATAATAGTCAAAAGTACTGGACCATTTTTCCATTATCTCAAAAGCAATAGATTCTCTAACTTGGTCAACTTTGGAATTTTTGTTTGGCATAAAGTTAACTAATAATTTCCAAAAAATATTTCTTTGCTCACTAAAAAAAAAAACAAAAATGAAAAATAAGGAATGTTCGAGATTTAAAAGGAAAAAAAAAATGTAGAAAATTGTTTACATTTTATAAACAAATTATTTGACGTTTTATTCTTGTAAAATTATCATCGCATTACAAACAGCAAATATAAAAATAAAACATAAAAATTAACAAATGAAATATGTTCACATACAAATAATAATAATATAATAATAATAATAATAATTCATCGAAATCACAATATGACTCGATTTGGTCACGAGAGAGAGTCTGCGATAAGTTTCTTTGTCAAAGATAAATAATTTGATCAAGTTGCAGTCGAAAGCGCTAACGTCCGATTAGGAAGAGAGATAGAGAGGAAGAAAGTGGTGCGTGATGGATAATTATGTGATAAGGGTGATGAGACAGCTGTATAGAGCAGGGTCCACCCCCTCCCTTCTTCATTTGCTTCATTCTCTCTGAGAGCAGTTTAAACAAGATAAGATAAGGAATGCTCGTATCACGAAAGCGGAAGTACCGATTACACGCTCAGATATCAGGGTGTTAGCAGTTTACCATATACATATATATATATATATGTATATGTAGACACGCAAAAGCTATAATGTTTCTGCTAACGAAAATCACTCTTCGAAACATTCCCGTATATCTTGACAAGAGAGCCAGGAATTGCTGGTACGTGCAGTTGATACATAAAACGGAACGAAAACTTTAGCAACATTTCTTTATTTTATTTATTTTTTTTTCCTCTTCCTTCTTCACTTGCAAAACGAAAAATTCAGACAGCACAGCGTCAGCGAAGATTGCCTCGTGTGAAGAAATGATGTTATCCTATCAACGTGACATCGTCTAGAGATAAACGACGAGAACATTTATGTAAGACTTTGAAAAATGCGAACAAAATTGAAATACAGACTTTCTTTTTTTTCTTGTAGAGAAAGAAAAATCAGTTTTTAAATTGTAAACAAAAATTTGCTCTTATTTTTTTTTTTAATCGTGTCTTTTGTTAATTTTTTTGCCCCAAGGTAATTTTTCTCTTTCTTCTTCAATTTATGTACATCTCTCTGATGATATTGAAATTTTTTTTTTTTTTTTATATTTGGGGAAAAAGAAATGTTAATTTACCTCCATTAGGCTTGATGTCCTCGTTTTGTCCTCGATGTAGATCTGGTTTTGGCATTATTGATAAAGGATGGGCGGAATTTCCACCGGGATTTGCCCCACCGGGAATGCCTAGGCCAAGGAGTGCTGCCGAGGCAGAAGTTGGAACTGGAATTCCAGGACCAAGGCCAGGAAGACCTGCCAGTCCTGGATGTGGACCAATTGCAGCTGTTGGTGGCATCTGTTGAGCGAATATTCTCGGCACTTCCGGCCTTTGTTGCTGTAACAAAAGGAAGCAAAATTCTTGATTACTTGCGGGGGAAAAAAAATGCGAGACAAATTAATTTTAATTTTTAAATTAAAAATTGTAATATTTTATTGCCGGAGAATTTTATTTCTATATACATATATGAATAGAAAAATGACGAAAGGACATCGAAGTCTCGTTAAAAGGATTTCGCCTCTGGGCTATATATATGAAATTCGATAAAAAAAAGAGAAAAGACGGGAAAAACGGACAAATGTGAATGAGAAAACAAAAAAGAAAAATACGTATCAAAGTAGTACAATAACAGAGAGGCAGAAAGCATGGCAGTAATCCAGACAGGTCTGGGCGACTGTTGTCGTATGCATGAGCGCAAAGGATTCGTTAGAAGAGTCTGTTTGTGGAACGTGCCTCGGGAAGCCGCGGATAAATAAATAAATTCGCATGTTGCACTGAAAAGTAGATTTCCCGGTACGGCTACCTCGAATTTTGCTGACTGCTGCAGTGCGTGGGTGGTCGAATAAATAATTTTGTTTGCTGGGGAAAATGAATGAGATATATATATATATATATATGAGTTAAACATAAAAAGCGGATAGCTGCCAATGGGAAATAGTGCTAAAAGCGTAAAAACCAATTTCGGCAAATTGATAAAAGCGCGAAATCGCTCATCCTTGAAAGTTACTCGTTTTCAGTTTTTTCCTTCGATATATTTAACGAGCGACAAATATACAGAGGATTTAATTGATAAAGCGCACTAAATGACAAATCAGTTGTTTCTATTCAATATATATATATGTTACTAATAAAATTAATCTCTCGAACAATGCCAATAAATATTGAAAGTTAAATGACGGTAACTGCAAAATTTATTATGTGTCCAATTTTGAGAGTTGCTCAATAATGTTTTTTTTTTTTATTATTATTATTTTAGAAAATTTATAGAATTGAAAGGTAATAAAAATTGTGTACCAATAGCAATTTTTATTCAGTAACAATTAAAAATAAGTTTTAATAAAAATATAAGTATGATTTACTTTACAGATTGTTAAACTCTACTTTATGTAGGGTAAACGTTTCTTAACTGCGGTGAGAAATTAGGGAGCGTTCACAAATTACGTAACGTTTTTTTTTTTATTTTGACCCCCCCCCCTCCCCATGTAACACGGTATTGCTTACATTAGCGCCATTTTTTCTGCTGTCCGTAACAAAGTGCTTGACCCCCCCCCCCCTTCCCAAGAAAATGTTACGTAATTTTTGAACGCTCCCTTATACATTATATGTACGGTAAATTTTACTTTATGGATGGTAAATGTTACTTAACCGATAGGAATTTTACATTATTTATTTTAAACGTTTAAAACCGAGGAGAAACTTTACTTTGTGTATAGTAATTTTTAATTTGTGTATAGTAAACGTTACTTAACCGATGGTAAACTTTACTTTATGTATTGGAAATTTTACTTTATCTACTGTAAGTTTTACTTTAGGTATGGCAAATGTTACTTAATTGATGAAAAATTTAGTTTATGTATATAGTAAACGTTATCTTAAGCGAAGAGAAACTTTACTTTGTGTATAGTAAACTTTACTTTGTAATTTGTATACACGGAGAAAAATAGAAAAACGAATAAAGTAACTTTTACTATACTTCAAAAGTAAAACTTGAATTGTCCGGAGTTTCTGCGCATTTCTGGTAATTTTTAATCCAAAAATAGTAAAGTAAATAATAATTCTACTAATGAAAGAGTGCGGATTCGTTTACCAATTGAATTAGTAACAGTTTTGACTTTTTTTTAGTAGAAAACTACTAATTGCTAGTAGAAAACTAGTAATTCATGGAGTAAATCGTCTTAATAATTTGAAATAGTAAAAAATACGACTTACTCCATAAATTAGTAGTTTCTATTAGCAATTAGTAGTTTTCTACTAAAAAAGAGACAAAACTGTTACTAATTCAATTGGTAAACGAATCCGCACTCTTTCATTCCTTCATTCTTTCAATCCAATTTTGCTTATTTTAATACCAAAATGGATTAAAATAAGCAAAATAAGCTTACTTCAATACCTTATAATTTTCTGTGTAGAAAACTACTAATTCAGATTGAAAGAGCGTGTATAGTAAATTTTACTTTGTGTACGGTAAACATTATTTAACCGATGATAAACTTTACTTTATGTATGGTAAATTTTAACTTTATGTACTGGAAATTTTGTTTTATGTATAGTAAATTTTGCTAAATGTATAATGAACGCTACGTGATGCATAAAAAACTTTACTTTCACATATAGTAAATATTACTTAATCGAAATAAGAAACATTACTTCATGTGTGGTAAATTCTTCTTCATGTACGGTAAATATTACTTTTCATTTGGTAAATTTTTTATTAAATACAATAAACTATATACATAATCGTGATTTTCCATTTTGCTTGTATATATATACATATCGGAAAAAGTAGCATTTCGTATCAAAGAGGTATACAAATGAAATTAATCAACTCCTATATAGGTATAAAATCGTGAGACGAATACATAATATCAGTTTGTAACGAAAAGGGAAATTGAAGTCGTAGAACGATAGAATAATTCTCGAGAGAATTCACAGCAGCAAGTTCTCGCATTAGCGCGTGACGTACTCCAATTACGCGCAGAAACGACTTTCGACAACAAAGATGAAGACTGTTACGGAATCGCGAAGTCGATAATTATTACGGAACGTATATATATATATTTAAGGCTTTCGAGTTCCCGGGCGGAAGTAAAGAGGAGGTAATAAACTCGGCGAGAACGCGCACCTCTAAACTAAAACCGAGCATTTTGGCGTAATGGTATAACCGATGTTAGGGACTGAAGTTGTACCTAAGGGAAATTGTGCAGGCAGTCCGCTGCCAGACAAATCGTAAACTGGCTCAACTGTGTTTTAACGGTTCGGGGAGCGTGTCGGTTGAGGCGAGATCGTACGTGTACACTCGTTAGACAGGCCAAAGGCAACTTGTGTGGGTGTAAGGGAGAATATATATATATAGTAAAGAAGAGAGAGAGAGAGAGGAATAGAGAGATACTGTGAACAAGGCGTGGGTGGAAGCGGGAAGGAGGGTGGAGGCGAATATTCCGGGGAGTAGTTTGCCGAGATAATTAAATGGCTTAACGATATAATAACCCCGCGTCGAGCGGCTGACTGTACATCCAACACTTACACGCTTGTTTCCTGATCACACACACACACACACACATACAAATGATGTCGTATACACAAAAACACAAACAATGTTTGTACACACAATATATCCCTTAAAATCAAGGGTGCACAATTTATCATCCTGTTTTCTCTCACTATTTGTTGCTGGATTTATACACACCCTTTTGTATATAGCTAGGGTGCATAATTTATCTGTTAAGATACTGCGTGTGGATGTTAAAGTTACCTCACTATAAAAACGGGGGGAAAAAAAATAATGCTGGCGAAAATAATTAAATTTGATATGTATAAAGTATTTGCGGAGAATTAATTTTTTTGCAACTCACTTTAGAGTGAAACGAGTTAATTTTATAGTCTTTTAAAGATTGACCCAAAAATTAGTTTTGAATAAAATTGGTAAGCTTACAACAAACTTGCAACAAGCTCATTGCAAACTTGCAGATTGGGTAGTTTGTACTAATAGTACGAATTAGTGATTTTGATTAAAAATTAGTAAAATTTCTCATATTCGCAAATATAGCAGTAACTAAGCGACTGATTTGATAACTGTAAATTTTTCACTGATTCAAATTTCGATATCAGTGTTGAGAGTATTTTCTCCTTTAAATATTGTGTGAATTTTTGAGAATCTTTTCTTGATGGAAAATGGTGTAATTTTTACTCTACATAATAATTGAGATTGAGAATAAGAAGAGTACTATATCTATAAAGAGTTCATCGAGAAGCAGTCCGCAATGTCACTTTTGTAAAAAGAGATTGTCGACTTTTATAGAGCCTTGAACACCTGCGAATTCTTTGTCAGCTTCAATCTCAGCATTTTCAGAGTTTGGTCGACGCTCACTGTTTGCTGACTCAACCATATTCGATTCAAGTGGAAAGCTTTCAGATTTTTCGGATATTGGCCGCTACGACAAGGCCGTGCCTTATCCACTTGGAATATATTATTATTATTTTTTTCCCAATACTTCAATGTTACTTTTATCCAATGCATATATTCATTTAAAATATAAAAAATTATATCATTTTCTTCGCGAAATTTAAAAAATGAAATAATATATTTTTAATTATGTAAAATCAAAATCACTTTAAATATTTTTGTTCTAGTAAAGATATAAACAGTGGAAGTGTATTTTTATTTCAAAAATCATAAACATAACCTAAAAATATTTTTTGCCTCTAAGGTTCTTTTTCTCGTAGAAAATGACTAATTTTCGCCGATTTGTTCATTAAATAAATTAGTAACAGTTGTGATTAATTATTATAGCCAAAAAAATAACTAAATTGATAGTAGAAAACTACTAATTCATTTAATTTATTACTATTTCTACTAGTATTTGCTACTATTTAAATTAGTAAACTTTAATAAATGAATTAACAGTTTTCCACTATCAATTTAGTTATTTTTTTTTTTACTAAAAATTAGTCAATTACAAATATTATTTAATTAATCGACGCAGTTGACTAATTCAAAAATGACTAATTCAGATTTAAAGAGTAAATATACTTAAAAATCATATCAGTTTCAAAATATTATCTTCATTTAATTAAAATTGAACTTAACTCTTAAAAATATACTTTGTTAAATTCTCAAACGGCATAGTGATAATCATTTGCAAAGATATACATATAATATTGTAAATTGTTGACCTCAAATCACTGATAAGAATGTCTTTAATGTGCTGACACGCAATAATTACGCAATTCTCGAAGGCTATTTTACTATATAGCATAATAAATGGAATATATATATTTTATCAAAATCGTCATTTTCTGCGAAATGAGATTTCTGTTTTTTTTTTCTTCAAAAAATCCCTCACTATTTACGTCGATGAAGTTCACAATGATTGCAACAAAAAAAAAATTTAAATATATATATTTCACGCAGAAAATAATATCATTTTTGTTCTACAAATTTTTCTTCTCAAAAATTGTTAATTTTACATTGCAAAAATATTTTCGATCAAAAAATGATAATAATTAATTTGTATAAAAAAATATGTTCAATCAAAAAATTATAGTAATTTATATATAAAAAAATATATTTTTTCTAAATCGTTAGTTGTACCGGTTGGATTGTAAATTTCACCGACGTAACTATTTCTTTTTGTATATGTGACGTTCGCTATTAAAATGACCTTAGAGGCAAAAAATTTTAGGTTATGTTTATAATTTTTTAAGTAAAATTACAATAATATTTTATATCAACTACGTTCTACACCCAGAGAAATATTTTATTTGAACCACATATATAAAATGAGGCCGTTTTCACCGAGTGGATAAACTTGAAACTTCCAAGAGGTTAAAGGCATTAGATATATTCTGCGTCTGCGCAGAAGCAAACATTTTGCGCAGACGCAGAATATATCTACTGCTTTTAACTTCTCGGAAGATTAAATTTATTCACACGGTGAAAACGGCCTCTATATTTGAGTTAAATAAACGTATATTTGTCTCCTGAGCCAACTAGTCTATTGATTATTTGGCGTAAATAAAATTTTTTATTTAAATCAAATAAATAATTATTTGCAACAAATAAATATTTATTTGACTCTGAGACAAATACATATTTTCTCTGTGTGCGTATACAATTGTAAAATATATAAAAATTTGATACATTCTTTACGTGTTCTTTGAGTTTGATAAAATTTTCAAAAATCAACATTTCAGCTTAAAGATATTTGTGATTCCATTTGACAGAAACTTTATATCAATAGGGGCCATATAAAAATATATATATATATATATATTATATACAATCGTGGTACAAAGTGATGACAACAAGAGATGTCTCTTTTGCCATACAGCAGGAAATTGCAGTTCTATTGCCTGTAAAAACCGTATCGTCGTTTCATAACATCCTTTTCAACCCAGGGATAAAAGAATTCTTATTCCTTTCGCTAACAGCAATTCTGATTGAAATGAAAGTGACTCGGCTGGAAAGCTCATGCTGAAATAAATTGCACTTATTTGAACAGGATAAAATTGAAATAGACATATCCTCGAGCGGTATATGTCTAGAATAGTTCTACCTTTTTCTAAGGAGGAACGCTAGGAAGAGAAAGAGAGAGGAATATTTCTCTTTAAAGGGTATTAATCTCTCCAAGTACCCGTACCGATTCACGAAAAAAAAAACGGGTGAATCGTTGAAGAAGGACAAAAATAAAGAAAAGGAGGAAAAAAAATAGAAAAAGCAGATAACGAGAAAAAAAAGGTTTCGCAAAGATTCTATTCCATTCTTGGCTTGACTCTCTCTTTTGAATCTCGTTTTTCCAAGCTGAGTTTCCTGTTGTCAAACGGAGCGTCGCGTCGAGGCTCAAAAGAAGTCGAAGTAGAAAAGGAGGGATGAGGGCTGGAAAGGACTAGGAATGAAGAAGATGAGAATGGTTATAGGACCGGGTTAAGAGGGTTGGAATCCTGGGGATTCTGCTAAGGATTTGCTGCACGTAGCGACAACCCTGTGGATCTGAAGGAGCCTCATCCCCTTTCTCTCTCTCACTCTATCGTTCTATCTCTTTCACTCCCTTGGAAGGAACTCACCCCCTTGGAAGAAGCAGGAATCCTGATTAGTCGGTGCTCGTGCGCCATAACACTATAACCTATCTGGCCAAGAACCCGAGGAAGATTCCGGTATAAGATTCGGAAGGGAGTGGGTTAGATAAGGGGAGGGGGAGAGAAAGACGAAGGAACGGAACTTGAACGGCGCGGTAAAGGAAGATGGTGGTAGGGGGGCAGGGGAGTGAGAGAAGCCGGCGGCTTAATAGGGAGGAAATTGAGTGCTCGAGCAATATTGAAGAGGATTCGGGATTCGCGAGGATCGAGGGAAGGAACGTATCCATCCGTCCGCTTTTGGATTCCTCTGGCGTGCATCGACTTCCTCTTCTACACACAGAGAGAAAGAGAGAGAGAGAGAGAGAGAGAGAAAGCTCGGTCGACTCGGCACGATCAGAGGTTCTCATTCGTCGTTGCGGTTTTCGCTTTAATACACGTGGGAAATTCACGTACTGTAAATACGGTTAAGACGGTTTTCTCAAGATTCCAATGTTCAACTACACCACACGTGAATTTTTGTATATTCCAACAAAGATTCAAACAATAATCAATAAGTGAAAAAATTCAAATAAATGCGGTTACTTTGTCTATATTGCCAAATAAATATTTACTTGAAGGAAATAATTTTTATTTGAATTAAATAAATTTTATTTGGATCAATAATTTTTGTATTTGAAACACATACCCAATTAATTAACTAAAATGCTAATTATGTAATGGCAAATTATAATAAATATTACAATAAATAAATATTAAAAAATATTTATTTGATAAAACTTTGAATTATTTCCCAATTATATTTTACAAAAACAGGAAATTTTTGTGGTATATTCTATATTTATAGTATATATTTCTTATTATGGGAAAATAGGGGTTAAAAATAAAAGATTGAGACATATTTTTAGAGAGAATATTACTTACCCCGATAATGGCATTGAGTTCAGACACCGTGACTTGTTTTGCTCTTTCTACAGCAGTGGCCACTTGTTGTTGATGCTCTTGCGAGAGATAAGGCAAAATCTGTGCAATGATAGCGTTCAATCTCTTCGCAATTTCAGTCTGTAAAAAAGAAAACAATATTAATTAAGTATCAATTAATATTAATGTAAATAGAAAATTTATTTATATAAACATAAATTTATAAAATAATAATAATTAACAAAAGTTTTTACATAAATTTTTTGGTCCAATACCTTATCAAAAATTGACTATTGTCGCAGTACTGGTACCAATACTACGCCAGTATTGAACCAGTTGTTAATTTTTGTGATAGGTTTTATTTAAACAATTAGCTAAGAAAAGCTGTAGTAAAAAAATTGAAATCAATTTTTAAGAAATAAATATAACGAAATTATAAATAAATTATACAAATGAGCATTTCTCATCCCCTTCATGATCTCTTTGTGAGCTTGACAACCAGAGAGCTTTTCTTCTCGAGAGATAAAAAAAAAGAAGGAAATGTTAAAATAAATTTGTTCTCCTCCTATACTTTTTTGCTAATAAACACATAAAAATTTTAAAATGTTTCTTATGCGTATTTATAGAATTGTGCGCGCATGAAATATAGGTCGAGGATATTAACAAGTCAGTACTATAGCCGTTGTTTATGGCAAAAGAGATTTGAGGAAGTCGTTATAATAGTTATCCAATGCTATATATTGTATATATATCATCTCTTGATTTCATCAGTACAAGTATAAAGTTAGCTAAACATCGCCAATGTAATATATGTATATATACATATACGTATGGTGCGCACGCGTCAACTAAGTAATTAATTTGAACTGAGGTAGTACACGAGACTTGCAATACCGAGTATACTTGGGGCGTAATCCCCTATTTCAACGAACAGTTTAATGCGCGTGGAGAGACCGATACTGGTCTTTCAACACACATAAACTAATTGCATACATTTAACCACAGTTCTGTGTAATCAGTGACTCTCGCGATTTCCAGACTAAACCTATTCAGCATTGTAAATTACCGCAAACAACCAATTACAAGCTTGTTTCATACGAAATGCAAAATATCATTCAGATTAGAGTCAAAACCTGTGTGGATTAGCGCGTTGTTATAGTTTTCCAAAGAAACGAAAATATTTTCTCACACTTATAATTAGACATTTATTTTTTTTTAAATATTTAAAATGATTTTAATATTTAAAAATGACGATGGATTTATTGAATAAATATTTTTCAAAATGTAAATTATTTCTTTTATTTAATTTTTAATTTAGTAGAAGAATGTATATAGTCATGAGTGGTCTCTAACTTTTTTGTAAAAATATCGCAAAAATGGCGCCATTTTTATTTCTGCTTTAGTTTTTAGTAAAAATAGGGCAAAAATGGCGCCATTTTAATTTCTGTCATAGTTTAACGGAAAAAGTAGGGAAGAAATTAAAAAGGCGCTGTTTTTGGTTTATTTTCAGAAGAAATTATAAATTGTGTGGTATTTGCTTCATTTTTCAGTAAAACTAGAGTAGAAATTAAAATTGCACCATTTTTGCTCTATTTTTCCGTAAAATAATGGCAGAAACTCTGATGGCGCTATTTTTGCTCTATTTTTTCGAACAACTAGGGCAAAAATTAAAATAGCGACGTTTTTCCTTTATTTTTTCGTAAAAATATTTGCAAAAACGCAGCCATTTTAATTTCTGCTGTAATTTTTTGTAAAAATAGGGCAAAATTGGCGTTATTTAATTTTTCGTAGAAATATAGTAAAAATTGTGCTTTTCGTAAAGATATATGGCGAAAACTGCGCCATTTTAATTTCTGCTCTAGTTTTTCGTAGAAATATAGCAAAAATCGCGCCATTTTAATTTCGGCTTTGGTTTTTAGTAAAAATAGGTCAGAAATTAAAATGGCACTTTTTTTGTTCTATATTTTTGCATAAAAGTAGAGAAGAATTAAAAATGTCGCCATTTTTGTTCTACTTTTTCGTAAAAATAGAGCAGAAATTAAAATGCCGATGTTTTTGTTTAAATTTTTTGTAAAAATAAGTCAAAAACGAAGCCATTTTAATTTCTGCCATACTTTTACGGAAAAAATTAGAGTAGAAATTATTATGTCTCCGTTTTTGCTCTATTTTTCCGTAAAAGTATAGAGCAGAAATTAAATTTTTGCAGTTTTTGCTCTATTTTGCCTTAAATCTAAAGCAGAAATTAAATTTTTGCAGTTTTTGCTCTATTTTGCCTTAAATCTAAAGCAGAAATTAAAATGGCGCCGTTTTCGCCATATATCTTTACGAAAAGTTAGAACTGAGCCGGATATTAATTTCTGTTTTAGTTGTTCGTAAAAATAGTTCAAAACTAGCGCCATCATAATTTCTGCCATTTATTTACGGAAAAATAGAGCTAAAATGGTGCAATTTTAATTTCTCCTCTTGTTTTACGCAACAGTAGAGAAAAAACGGCGCAATTTTAATTTTCTAACCCAATTTTTTGTTGAAGAAGTAAAGCAGAATTAAAACTAGGGCAGAAATTAAAATGGCGCAGTTTTCGCCATATATATCTTTACGAAAAGTTAGAGCTAAAACGGAGCAGGATATTAATTTCTGCTTTAGTTGTTCTTAAAAATAGTTCAAAACTAGCGCCATCATATTTTCTGCCATTTATTTACGGAAAAATAGAGCTAAAATGGTGCAATTTTAATTTCTGCTCTAGTTTTCGCAAAAATAGAGCAAAAACGGCGCAATTTTAATTTTCTGACACAATTTTTTGTTGAAGAAGTAGAGCAGAAATTAAAATGGCACCGTTTTTGCTCTACTTTTGCATAAAACTGTAGAGCAGAAATTAAAATTCTAAAGTTTTGTAATTTTTCGTAAAAGTAGGGGAAAAACGGCGCCATTTTAATTTCTGTTATAGTTTTACAGAAAGTGTATAGCAAAAATTGAAATGACGCCTTTTTCCTTTATTTTTCCGTAAAACTATAGCAAAATTAAAGATTTCATCTCTATTTTTCCCTATAAAAGAAGAGTAGAAAACAAAAAAATTAGAGTAGAAATTATTATGTCTCCGTTTTTGCTCTATTTTCCGTAAAAAACAGAAATTAAAATTGCATCATTTTTGCTCTACTTTTCCGTAAAAAAATATATGGCAGAAATGAAAATAACACTATTTTTTCTTTTTGGAAGGTGTATTGTGTATTTACTCCTATACATTTAATTATATACTGTAAAGATTCTATTTATCTTATATATATTGTAAGGATTCTCTACAATATACTTAAATCGCAATTTAAACATTGATTTGTAAGACCTTACAATTTCTTTCCTTTTTTTTTTTTCTACCGGAAAATTTAGTGAACTATTCGATTCTGTTGAAACGACCCCCACAGTAGTAATTTCCTCCAATGTTAATTTACTCCCTGAGAGAAAACGGGACAGTCGTGTTAGCTACTGAAGAACGAGATGAGTGCAGGTGCAGCATTGGATCGTATCGAGGGTGTTTACGACGCTCGTGAAGCGCCCCTGGCAGAATAGAAGAGACTGACAGGAATTAAATTAGATTCTCCCGGGGGGTGGAGAGGGGGAGAGAGAGAGAAGGGGTTTGCCAATGGCGCGCAGAGAAACGACTTGTCGTGGTTCAATCTTCAGTCTACCTCATAGCTATATAATGCCAAATGATTCTGCTATTATATATTTTCTCTAGTTTGCCTAATAGAAACATGGATCGCATTAGGGATTATTGTTTTTTCTAAAATTTTTACATATCTTTTAAAAATATAATTCTGTATAAAAATTCTGACAGTTAAAGGACAGTTAGGAGTAAAAGTTTTCGAGTTTATCAAAAACGGATAATGAAAATTATAAAGAAATCCAAGTTTGATCTATTTTGACAATGCCGTCGTTTTATAAATTCTACATACACGATGACATCGTTTTCACCGCGTGGATTTAAAATTTAACTCCGCTAAAGGAACATGCTAAATTTGCGTCTGCGCAGAATATTCGTAAATCTTCGTTAAGTACAAACGAATGTTCTGCGCAGACGCAAATTTAGCCTGTTTAACGGAGTTAAACTTTAAACCCCCCACACGGTAAAAACGGGATCAATATATCAATGAATCACGATCATTAGTCAAACGGTGGTTAATTAGCATTCAACATATATTGCATATTTTCCAGTAATTTGTCGACAAAAATCATGATACATATGTTCGCAAGTGTAATTCTATATAAGTGTGTGTCTAGAACTAAAATGTAAATAAACGTAGGTCGTGGCATCGCATAAGTCGTTCCTGTAAATGTGGTTCTCTTTTGCCTATCGTGTTCCCTTTCACTGCCGTTTAAACGAGCGGTAGATGCTAATTGAAATATCGCGGCCACTGAAATTCTTGGCAAGTTTCCCTCTCGAGTCACGAGTATACACACACACACAACGAACACGAAAAAGAGAGAAAAAAAAAGGGGAGAGAAAAAGAGAGACGCGGAGGCAAAAATGGAAGTGGTAAAAAGAGCTAGATTAAAGTGGAAATGAGGGAGAGAAGAGAAGGTGGAGGAAAAGAGAGGAAGCTGGGAGTTGTTGTTTTAATTACCCGTCGCCCTCCGAGTGGCAGTCATTAAGCCACTAATTATAACGTACGCGAAAATGAGTTGAGCCATCCGCGTAAGAGGAAAGAGGACGGAAGTTGCGCTGTCAGCGAGGGCGAAGTGAGATAACAATAGAGGAAAAAGAGAGAGAGAGAGAGAGAGAGAGGGTTGGGAAATTGTAGTAGTAAAAGCTGGCTCGAGGGTTGGAAAAGAGTAGAGAAACGAGTGGAATGGGGGAGCCGCTGCAGACGTAATTGCGTTGCCGAGAAGTTTTCCTTGGGTGAGAGAGGTAACCAAGAAAATAATGAATGGGGTAGGTGCAGCATGGCATGGCAAGGCAACCTTCGTCTCTCTTTCTCCTCCTCTTTTTCTCTCTCCTTCTCTCTCAACGAACTGAGGGCGGCGGTTGTCCTTTCAGGGCCGTATACTGTCGCGTCATTTCTCGCTTGTTGAAAAGTTTTTCAAGAAAATAAACGCCGTGTCTCTACTGGCGAAACGTTTGCCACGTACTACATACATTAAGACACTCC